GGGGGGGGGGGGGGGGGGGGGGGTGCGTCCACGCACAAAAACCGCTCGGGGAAAAGAAACCTAGCCGGGCGGATATGACTCGGATAGAAAAACGCAAGCGGGCGGATTACATATGCATTACGCGTGTAAATTCCGGGCCGCGGTTAAATCATCCTGAAAAGCGTGGTCTAATCAGGACCCCTCACTTTCTTTTTAATCTCACTTTTCCCGCCTCACCCCCGCCCCCCGCCGGGCCGAGACCGATCCATCATCTTCGGAGCGCATGCGCGCCGCGCCGAGGCGAGCTCTGCCCAATTAAACATCACAAAAGGCAATACTGTTCCTCGTTTCGTTGTTTCTCCTTGTTATTTTCCGTTTTCGAGATTTACATATTTATGAGCTGGCGTCTCGGAAAATCGAAAAACGCGTATGTGCGTGGAGTTTTCGTAGGAAGTTGCGCGGTTTATTCCTCCGCGGTGGAGCGGGGGTCTCGGCATCGAGCCACGAGATGCATCTTCGTATCGGGCGTTCGGACTGGACGTGAGGATGGTGCCGCGACGTTTGTAATTGATTCGGTGGGAAACAACTGCCCTCCATGCGGAGCGTCACCAGAGGTCCAGGTGTGAGTTTGTCGGCTCGTCCTGTCCCGGACGAAGGGACGTAACGACGTAACTTCATTCCAAGGCTGCAAAGTTGACTCAAAAAGTTCTATTTTTTGCAAGAATGTGTACCCGTGAAATTTTTGTCCAACATGTTTCCGATTTTTTATTTACTTACATACTTACTAACTTACTTACTTACTTATTTACTTCTTTACTTACTTATTTCCTTACTTCCTTCCTCACTTACTTACTTACTTACTTACTTACTTACTTACTTACTTACTTACTTACTTACTTACTTACTTACTGACTGACTGTCTGACTGACTGACTGACTGACTGACTGACTGACTGACTGACTGACTGACTGTCTGACTGACTGATGGACTGACTGATTGATTGACTGACTGACTGACTGACTGGCTTACTTACATACTTACTTACTAACTTACTTACTAACTTACTTACTAACTTACTTACTAACTTACTTACTTACTTACTTACCTACCTACTTACTTACTTACTTACTTACTTACTTACCTACCTACTTACTTACTTACTTACTTACTTACTTACCTACCTACCTACTTACTTACTTACTTACTTACTTACTTACTTACTTATTTACTTACTTACTTACTTACTTACTTACTTATTTACTTACTTACTTACTTACTTACTTACTTACTTACTTACTTACTTACTTACTTACTTACTTACTTACTTACCTACTTACTTACTTACCTACCTACCTACCTACCTACCTACCTACCTACTTACTTACTTACTTACTTACTTACTTACTTACTTCTTTACTTCAAATACCCCTGAAAGGGTTCTCACGCTTGCAGTTCTTTAAGTCCCACCCTTTCTCAGCCCCTAATCAAGCCGAGCTGATTGTTGAAATTGGTAGACAAAGAAGAGAAAAG